TATAATACATTTATAGGTATTCTTATCTTATAATATAATATAATATATTATAATATTATATAATATAGTATAGTATAGTAAAAAATATAAAAAAAACAATACATTTAGAGCTCTAGTTATAAATAATATAGGTTTTATTTATAACTTTATATATAAATCCCTTATTAAAAATAAGAAAGCGCTATATTTATACGTGTTATATAGTATTTTTAGCCAGCTAACGTTCAATCGCGGTTTATAGGATCAGGGCCTAAATCTGGAGCGCTAGTCTGAGACTCGCTAACAGAGGGTCCCATTCTCCATGAAGCTAGCCAATTAAAATAGAGGGTAGGAGCCTTTATTGCCCAGCCAACATCCCATCCACGTGACCGACAAGCATCTGGAATCTACACTTGAGCGTTGCATGTTGCGTTGGATTGTTCGCTTATTATTTAGCAGCACAAGGCATGTCGGCATTCAACTCACAACAAGCTTCGGGAACGACTAATGGAGATGCAGGTGGTCCAGCAATCAACTTGAAACCACCCCGTATACCTTTCCGGCCTGTACGGCAATCACGCCAAACGTTCTTCCTCCATCCGGGCTACCCCGACAATCATAACATTCTTCTCATTCTTCCGGCTCTCGACTCATGTGGAATTCACCATGAAACAGCGCGCATCGCATGTGCTATCCTTGCCAATTCCAGATGGGACGGCTTTCTATCACTCACAAGGGACGGCCCAAAACTCGAGGAGCACCCCGATGGTGTTCTTCTGTCTCGCCGATATTACTTTCGTGTGGAAGGAGGTATGTCGCTATTCGTCTTGGTGCTCGTGCTTTATTGCGACTACTCTTGCTAATGCTGTGTATTGGCAATGCAGATGATCGATATCCCGTTGTACCATCTTTTGATAACTTCTCATGCCCCCCAGAGCTTCCTGAATCATGGTGTGAGAAAGTCGCTCCGATTGAACAGAGCAGCGTGGACGACGTCGGCAAACGCGACCAGATTTGTCGAGTCACTGGCTCCTCACTTCCAAACGAAAACGCGCACATCATTCCCCAGGCCCAGAGTGATTGGTGGCAACGTAATAGTATGTTTGCATTTACCGTAAATGCGGATCAAGGCTTTGATACGAAGTGTCCTGATAACACAATCCTTGTCCGACGCGACACACACAAGATGTGGGATGATCATCGATTCGCCATCGTGCCCAAGGCAGGGAAATGGGTTTCTCATGTCCTATGGAATAGCGCAACCGTGGAATTGGAAGAAGAGTACCACAACCTCGAGCTTCAACCACTCCGCGGTGTTTCAAGATACTTCCTTCTTTGCCGATTTGCGCTTGCCATCTTATCTAAGAGCGCTTTTCTTAGTCAGGGTGTCCCGCGTCGATTAATAACCGTATCCGAGTCAGGGTCTACCCGTGTCCGTTCCATGTCGGCAGACGAGTACCGTGGCATGTTCAGCACGGGTCGCGCCAACAGTCGAAGCCAAAGCCCGAAGAAGCGACAACGATCGACACAGAATGAGGAACAAGGGGACGAAAATACTGAGCATCCGTACACAGAGACACCCTCGGACACAGACCATAATCTGGAAGAGCCTGAACGGGGTAGACCTCGGAAAAGGAGGTGCATATGTGGCGACGATGTGGTTGGAATCGGGATGAGCGAGACTTCCAAACCATGGCCATTATCCAGTAACTACGAATGTTTCGGGACACCGCCACGGTCTACAAGTCCCACATGAACTGGAGTCTATAACTTCTGTGGCATGTTTCGCCAACTGAGGTCGCGGGCGATCCACAATCTCCAACTCCTAACCTAGCTCCGGCAACGGGGTGTTTGACTTTCCTACCCGGCATTCGGATGCTGAAACGTGCCCTGTTCTCACCAGTTCTAGGTCAAGCAAGCAAACTTCATGACCTCTACGCTCGAAGTTTTCGCTAGAAGAAAGGGCCCGTTGCTACTTATCGACCGGATTCTTCCGCTGTGAAACGGAAAATTGGCCTCGCTCGTAATAGGGCTGGCATACCCATGATTTCGGACTCAGAACTGGACAGAGAACGCTCTCGTGAGGACGTTGAGCGGATAGAAACAAACTTGCGAGGTCAGGTCTGCGTCGAGTTTCTAGTTCTCGACCCCATTTTCTCAAGCTTCCCAAGCTATGGAGGAGCCATAGCTACCAACTTGACAGCCGCTCTCCGCTGGTCGTAATCTAGTTGGATTGACAAGCGCGAGACCGGGCTTTGATCTAGCTTGCTGGCTTTATTAAGGCAAATGCTCCATTGCCTGCAATATGAACGAGTCTCAAAGAGGTTGCGTCTCATCGATAACAGCGACAGCGACTTGTCCACATTCAGCCCTTGTCTATAATCATCAACTATCTACTTAACGGTGGCCAGTTGGAACTTTCGGGAGGCTGCCCAAGGAGTAATGGATCCATGAGGGGAAGTGGAACTGATTGCAACAGCGTGGAGTCGTGGACCTGGAGTCTAACGAACGATGCTTTGCGACCGACGACAATCTTGCCGCGAACATCACCTGCCCGACCAACGATTCTTTTATCCAAGCTTGACTCGGCGAGATGGCGCTGTCTTTTTTGTTCTAGACCCAGCTGGGCCTGATCTTTTTGGGCTGCCTTTCGATGTTGTGTCAACTTAGCCCTTGGTTCTGGATTGCAGCAAAGACTTTCTTGGCCAGGCTGTTGAGGAGACTAATGACCAATACGCTGTCCTGCCGAAGTTGTGCTGGATGTAGTGTTGCCACGTCGCTTACATGTCTGTCCCCAACAGCAATATATGCCATCTTCACAGCTCCCAACATGCTCACCTGTGTCAAATGCTTCTTGCATGCATTGCGACTGCCCAATTTTCGATGACACGACGTCGAAACGCATCAAAAACCAACCGTCTTTTGAGGATAGGTGCTCTATTGTAATCAACTTTCCCATGTGACAAACCCCCATGGACATCTGGTGGTGAGTCAAAAGGCCCACGTGCTGCACGTCGTAGCATTTACGGCATCTCAACAGGAGGTGCGTTGTAACCACTGCGTCTCTAGCCTTCCGGCATTGTAGTTCCTTTTCTGGCTGGCTTCTTATCTATCCAGTCAAAACTCTAGATCTTGCAGGCAGGCTAATTCAATGCATGTTATGCAAAGAAGAGGTTACGGCCTAATTCACTCACAATACCCTGTTTTACCCCAAAAAGGACATCTCTGGGCCAATTAATTAAGCGTCAGTACACTTTGCTCAAATGAATGAGTTTAATGACGTTAGGATAGTTGATACCTTGGGGTTTTCAGCAGTACAGTAGGCAGCGAGATTATAAGTAGAATTCGACTACGCCTTTACGAGCCGCAGAGGACTGCTTCGAGTTCAAATGTCTCGAAAGCGCCTGTAATACTGATCCCAAGGCATCGTCCGTAGCTTGCAACTATAACACTATAATCCGTCCCGCTCACATTCTACGAAGACAACGAAAAGTTTTGTCTATTCTAGTATAATATCTTCATATCTTATCCACCCAATCTTGCACAGCCATCTTCCTTGCCAAAGACACGACAAGCTCATCGCTGGTCTTGCCCTGGTTACTCCCATCACGACTAGAAGAGTTGCTTGCTCCGTCAGAAGCAGAGGGACTGCCGCTTTCCAAACTCCTAACCTTTCTGTGAAAGTACAGCGTCTTTTGTGACCTGGGGATGCCGTAGATCTCATTTATGAACAGAAACTTATTCTTTATCGGACTAGGTGACGGGTCCTTCTTCCGGTCCAAGCGGCTGTAATCAATCTGTACCTCTCTTGGGGCGAACCGGCAAACTTGAATACGATTTGCGGGATATGGGCGAGATTTCCTGAGTAACCGTGCCAAGGTCGCTTCAAAGGGCCAGCTGATCTTCAAGCACTTAATAGTGTAATCGCCTCTGCAGCATTGACCTCGACGTACGGTTTATGCCGATGGACCGCACCTCAGCCATTGCTCCAGCAGTACCTGTCTTCCTCTGCAACGCGATCGAAGCGGTTCCGTCTTCTGGATACTAGTAGGACCGGCTTTTTTCTCGCATGGGTCGCTCCACACGCGTATGTGCTGTTGGCAACAAAACCTCATCAAGAACCTCAGCTGCTGGAGAAGTCGCTGCCGGCAGAATGTCAAAGACCAATCGTAATGGTACTGACTTTATTTACGTATTGACAAGTACACACTGAACGTTATCACTAGCATACTTTCCCTTGTTTTGGCATGGGGCGCGGTGGCTAGGTACGTAATCTAATTATATAGTTCCATGTTTCTTATTATATGATGGTGAGTACGCCACCCCCGTGTGCTAGAACCATACGAGCGGATTTGATATTACTCATGCAGGCATCGGACACAAAAACACTCAAAAAGGGCGTGGCCACGTCACGGTATTTCCTGTGCTATATACCCCAGGCCCCTTATATCCCGCGCGACAGCCCTCTATGGAGCCGTGAGGCGTGGAGCTTTACCCAAATGGGGATAGCGTTACCAGATTATCGGGAATGCTAAAATACAGTAAACTAGGTCTATAACGATATCTTTTATAAGGCTTTTTTTATTATTATTAGGCGACTATTATTAAGGTGTATTTATTATAAGACTTATACCTTTAATTAAATTTATAGGTAAATATATATAATAATATTAGGGGATATATATATGGGGATTATATTTTTTTTACCGCTTTATAAGCCTTCTACTAATTATACTAAAGCCGCCGTTAAAGCTATTAAAGCCTATTATAATTTATAACCCTTATTAACGCGCCCGTTAACGCGGTACCTAGGGTAAAAAAGGGGCTTAATTTAATACGTATCACGTGCTATAGCTAAATAAGCTTTATAATAGTTATTTTAATTCTTAAGCTAGCGTTTATAGCTTTAAATATTATTAAGTAGCTTTAATTTTCCCTATTAATAAATACGTGTATATAATATTAAAGAAAGAAAAAACGTATTAAAAGCTAAAAATTTAACTCTAATAATTAAAGTTTAATAATAATAAAAACGTTAAAATATATATTAATTAAGCTTAAGGCTAATAATATTATAAGTAACTTAATTATTAATAATTGATTAGGGAAAAACCTTAAATAACTGTAAATTATCGTAAAAACCTAAATATTTGTAAGGTGGTTAGGGAACCCCGCCTACCTATAAGGCGATTATTAACGTTACGTGGAATAGGGGCTTTAGGACTATATCCCCTATATCTTATATAACTAGAAAATAAAATAAGCTTTAATTATTATAATATAGCTACCCTTACTTTAATTACTTAACTTTTAATCTCTCTTATAATCTTATAATTTTTAAAGCTTTTTAAAAAGTTATTTTAGTTAAAATAATAAGAATAAGTACTTAAAGAACCCTTATTTTATAGGTGCCTTTACCTCTAATAATAGAGAATCTAATAGAATTATTAAGTAATTAAGAATATAATAGCTTTAAGTAAAGGGAAAACACTTAAATAATTAAATAATACCTTTATTTTAACCTTTAAGTTATATTAAAGAAAGTAATTAATTTAATACTTTTTAATTAAATTATTATTATTATCTTAAGTTATAATAATTTATATAATAGCTTAAATATTATAATAATTAAATAACTTATTAATTTCTTTCTTATATTAAATTTAATTTATTAGGTTTTTCTCTTATCTTTATAATAATTATTAAGAGTTTACTTTAATCTCTTAAATTAATTAATAATTATAAAGTTTAACCTTAAGCTAAGAAGTATTAATAAACTAATACTTTAATGTAAAGGTTATAATATATAAGCGTAATACTATAAAAATCTACGTTAATTTTAATAATTATATAATACTTAACCTTATTAGTATTAACTTTATAAGATAATAATAATTTAAGAACCTTATTAGCTTTAAGAAGTAAGTTATAAAGAATTAAAAAGTAACTAGATCGCAATACCGCGTATAGAGTTACTAGTGTATATGTATCGCGTTCGGGCTAATAAAGTAGTAATAAGAAATCTTAAAGAGTAAGACCTAATAACGGAAAAAGGTTACTTTAAGGAGGGCTTTATAACGCGTATACGAAGTTACCTGTAAAGAGGGACCGAATCGGGTACCGTATATAGGGAGTTACCTGTAAAGAGAGACTAAATTAAGTTTACTTATATACTAAAATAAGATACGAATTTCTATTAGTTGCTACGTTATTATAATTATAAAAGTAAGGATTACCTTTAACTTACTTATAATAAACCACTTAAAAATAACTTAAATAATTAAGGAAATACTTAAAGGTTAAAGTGATTACCCTTACTTTAACCTTAAGCTAAGAAGTATTAACGAGCTAATACTTTAATATAAAGGTTACTATATATAGGTATAAATTAAATTAGAGCTCTTACAAATATAGTAAATACAAGTGTATTGTATATTGTATTTTATATTGTATTGTATTTTCGTGTATTGTATTTAAATACAATACATTACATTTTAAAAATACCTATAAATGTATTATAATAGTATAAGTCTTAAAGAGAGAGTTTCTTATTAGATAATTCCCGTAAATTCATTAAAAAGTACTAGAATATAGCTTAAATTTACGCTATTATTAGTATACCTAAGAAAGACTTTTTTACCTTAAGAGATAAAAAGCTAATAAAGAGATATAATTCTATAAATAATATTTTAATAAAGCTTTATAGCTTTAAGAATATCTTTATAAATAATTATTTTAAGACCTTATTATTATATA